GAAAATGGCCAAAACCCCTCTAAAACCAGCCTGATTAACCAGCTAAAAAGCCTAGGCTGGTTTAAGCTGGATTTTTCAGCAGGGTACATCAATTGAGCAGATCTCCGAGTCTATCAGGAACACTTTTAGCTTAGCTTAGCATATACAATTGAATTGAATTAGACCGTTAGCATCTCATACAAAAATGTAACAAAAGAGTCTTGATCATGTTCCTATTTAACTGTTTAATTTGACCATATTTACATCCCCTAAGCAGATTTCCAGGTATAGCGGAAACACTTTTAGCTTAGCTTAGCCTAGCAGAAATTAGCTCAGATTAGACTGTTAGCATCTTATTGAAAATTTTCAAAAAGAGTTTTAACAATTTCCATATTTAACCATTTAGTTTGCCCATATTTACATCTATTGAGCAGATCTTCGTGTATGGCGGGAACACTTTTAGCTTAGCATAGATAACTGAATCGGATTAGACCGTTAGCATCTGGTTGAAAAATTGAAAAAGAGTTTTGATAATTTTCCTGTTTAAGTTCTTATGTAGTTACATCGTGTATTAAGATCGACAAGGAACTAAACTCTCATTCCTGCATGATCATCAATATATTTTGCTGCTGTACCATGGCTAAAGCAGACACAACGATATTACGCAAAATTGTCTAACTTCTGTCAAGTTTAGCTACATAGCTGAGGGCTATTTTCAGGTGCTGCATAATATCACTGCGCCTTATGCAGCTGATGAAGAGTCAAGCTTTAAATACATTCAATTATCAAAACTCTAGTCATTTTTGAGTGAGATGCTAACGGTCTAATCCAATTCATTTATCTATGCTAAGCTAAGCTAAACATGCTCATGTCAGACCCAGAGATTGGCTGAATGGATTAAAAAATGTTGAGTGTTTTTATCACATTACTATGCTGTTGCTGGTGTAGTTGCCAAGGTTGCCATGTTGTTACTAAGGCATTGTTACATTTATACAGGTGTTGACAACTGTTATGATATGCATATGCATATGTGCTTTGAGTGGTTGCTAGGGTGTTCAATGTGCATCTATGGGATTTGTTCACCTGCTTCATCATCCTGCAGGTGTACATTGTAATACTGCATTGTAGGGGTTTGATCACATCAGTATCAGCAGCAGTACTAGTGATGATTGACTGATGATGCCACTAATAACATATTGAGCTCAGCAGGGAAAATGACATATGAACTGATTTCAGTCAGTCATTCTGGCCTCTTCCCTCTGCGTGTATTAGTGTGTGTGTGTGTATGTATGTGTGTGTGATCTCCTCTGTCCCGCTCTGTGTGTGAGGCTTGTTTGAGGAAACGCTCCCGGCAGGAGTTTTGGCAGTCTGGGTTTGGGAATCAGAGCAATCCAACATCTAATGATTCACACCACAGAGAGTGTGCCAAACATACACAGACAAAGTACACACACTCTCGCTCTCTCAGTCTCTCTCCCATACACACACACACAGACATGAAACTAGTGCAGCATACTTGCAGTGAGCACTTCTGCCTATCAAATGACCCGAGAGAAATATTACAAGCTGATGATGAAATATATCCTCAGGCTTATTAACAAAATACCATGACACACACACACACACACACACACACAATACTATGGTAGTACCATCATTGAATGTGGAGGAAAATATGCTGAGTTGCAATAAAAAAAGTCTATTAGTATCTTTAATATTATGAGGAGAAAAAAAAAACATTTTACATAATATAACAATATTTAAAGTCCAAACTAATCTCTTTAAAATCAATGAGTTTACACACTTTTCTTAAGTAAAGTCGACTAATCGCTTTAAAAGCAATGGGTTTACTCACTTTTCTTAAGTAACGTCGACTGATCGCTTTAAAAGCAATGGGTTTACTCACTTTTCTTAAGTAACGTCGACTGATCGCTTTAAAAGCAATGGGTTTACTCACTTTTCTTAAGTAAAGTCGACTAATCGCTTTAAAAGCAATGGGTTTACTCACTTTTCTTAAGTAAAGTCGACTAATCGCTTTAAAAGCAATGGGTTTACTCACTTTTCTTAAGTAAAGTCGACTAATCGCTTTAAAAGCAATGGGTTTACTCACTTTTCTTAAGTAAAGTCGACTAATCGCTTTAAATGCAATGGGTTTACTCACTTTTCTTGAGTAAAGTCGACTAATCGCTTTAAAAGCAATGGGTTTACTCACTTTTCTTAAGTAACGTCGACTGATCGCTTTAAAAGCAATGGGTTTACTCACTTTTCTTAAGTAAAGTCGACTAATCGCTTTAAAAGCAATGGGTTTACTCACTTTTCTTAAGTAAAGTCGACTAATCGCTTTAAAAGCAATGGGTTTACTCACTTTTCTTAAGTAAAGTCGACTAATCGCTTTAAAAGCAATGGGTTTACTCACTTTTCTTAAGTAAAGTCGACTAATCGCTTTAAAAGCAATGGGTTTACTCACTTTTCTTAAGTAAAGTCGACTAATCGCTTTAAAAGCAATGGGTTTACTCACTTTTCTTAAGTAAAGTCGACTAATCGCTTTAAATGCAATGGGTTTACTCACTTTTCTTGAGTAAAGTCGACTAATCGCTTTAAAAGCAATGGGTTTACTCACTTTTCTTAAGTAAAGTCGACTAATCGCTTTAAAAGCAATGGGTTTACTCACTTTTCTTAAGTAAAGTCGACTAATCGCTTTAAAAGCAATGGGTTTACTCACTTTTCTTAAGTAAAGTCGACTAATCGCTTTAAAAGCAATGGGTTTACTCACTTTTCTTAAGTAAAGTCGACTAATCGCTTTAAAAGCAATGGGTTTACTCACTTTTCTTAAGTGAAGTCGACTAATGGCTTTTAAAGCAATGGGTTTACTCACTTTTCTTAAGTAAAGTCGACTAATGGCTTTAAAAGCAATGCGTTTACTCACTTTTCTTAAGTAAAGTCGACTAATCGCTTTAAAAGCAATGGGTTTACTCACTTTTCTTAAGTAAAGTCGACTAATTAATTTAAAAGCAATGGGTTTACTCACTTTTCTTAAGTAAAGTCGACTAATCACTTTAAAAGCAATGGGTTTACTCACTTTTCTTAAGAAAAAGTCGACTAATGGCTTTAAAAGCAATGGGTTTACTCACTTTTCTTAAGTAAAGTCGACTAATCGATTTAAAACCAAAGAGTTTACTCTCTTTTCGGCAGTGAAACAAACTAATCACTTTATACAGTAGAGTATTTTGCATATACTCATATCATGATGATGATAATTTTACAAAGTGCATTAAAAGATATTAAACTTTATTAAGTATTGAAATACCAAAAAATGAACAAAAGTCTATTTGAACTTTAAAAGACATCACAATATAGATCATGAAGGGAACAGCTATCCACATCTAGCTTTGATCGTTTTAATGATGTCGAATCATTATACATTAAAATAACAATAAATAAAAGAACTCAGATATTTATATTGACCATAGAGAGCCATCATATTGATCTTTTTTTTAAACACTGAATGATTTATAATGCAGTTTGATGCGGAATAATTCCTGGCACTCATACAAACCCACACGTGATGAGATTGTGTATGAATGTGTTGTGAATCTGCATATCACTGTAAATCAGAAAGTGCTGTATGACTAACAATATGCTGTCAAGTAAATGCGAGCGCAGTGTTTACCGCGGTGAGAATGTCCCTCATCAGACGTGACAAGCTGAAAAACTGCGCCGCTAATCGCTCTGACAGATTGAAGGGATCGTGGGATGTTGTCATCTATTTCTCTCTATTTCTCTCTGATTTGTTTCTCTCTCATGGCCGCCGCTAAACTTAGATACTCAACAGGGGTTTTCTGCACCTCCAGTCTTCCTGTTAACCACCGCACGTGTCTGTAATCGATGTGCCCTTTACTGCAAACTTTACAGTAACCCGTGGGTGACTTGAGGGGACATTTCTGAAGGTCTCGAGCGAGCTGATACCAGAATGATTGTGTTTAAATCACTTGCTTGACTGGAAGCTTAGCTTTAAATAACGATATAAAAAAACGTATGGATAAAAATG